ATTTTTAAGTTTTGAACAATGAGTCGGAGTCGGATTTGAGTGAAACTAGTATGGTTGGACTAGTAATTGAATAGGTTATCGGATTTTGTGAGTTTTATTGGGTTTTGAGGTGTGGTTCCGGGTATGATTTTTGGCCGATGTTGGATTTTGATTAAGGATTCGATCTTTATCATTTGGAGTTATTTCCTTGGGCTTTATTTGATGTATTTGAGTTGCTTTTGGCTAGTTTTGAGTCGTTTGGAGGTTGCTACGCATGTGATGGCATTTTTTGAGCATCACTTCGCTTGCTCGGTATTGGAATTGGCTTGTTCGAGGTAAGTAACTCTTTTAAACTTAGTGTTGAGGGTATGAAACCCTGAATTACGTGTTATGTGATTGGTATTGAGGTGACGCACATGCTAGGTGACGGGCGTGTGGGCGTGCACCCTGTGAATTGGGACTCCGTTGTTTTCATGGCACTGTATAATGGCCCTATCTTGTTGATATTTGTGTTTTCATCATGTGATAAAGTAATTGAACTGTCTATCATGCTAAATATCATGTTAATATTTATGTCGATACTGTTGGGACCCATAATGGTCATTTCTTGCTGCCATCTCACTGATTTTACTGATATTTTCGTACTCGATCATATTCATGCATTCATATCATACCTCAGTCTCAGTTGTTATTTATTGACACATTATATCATTGTTGCCGGGCTAGTTTCATGACCTTGTGAGCCCGTGAGTGAGACTGGAGAGATTGATGACTGAGTGAGGCTAAGAGCCTGATTATGAGTGATACTTATGGGATCGAGATGCACGTTGTAGCATGTTATATTGATTACATTTCATGGGATCGGGCTGCATGCCGCAGCGATATAGCGCTTGGGCTGAAGGATCCCTTCCGAAGTCTGCATACACCCCTAGTGAGCGCAGTTGCTTATGTGTATAATATATGGATCGGGTTGCACGCCGCAACGAGCCTTATGGCTATATATATGTGGATCGGGTTGTACGCCGCAACAAGTATTGTACAGTACTGAGTGATTGAGTGTGCTGAGTATTGAGCATGGTAAGAGAAAAATGCAAGACAGCAAGATTGAGTACTTTGAGAGTGTGAGTATATGAGCTTATCACTGAGAGGCATTGTATTTGACATGCGTACTTGAGATTCATGCATAGAGTTGCATTTCCTTCTGCTGCCAGGTTTTGGTGACATTCATGATTTTACCTGTATATTGACATGTAGGCATAGAGATGTACTTTCCTCATGCTATCTGAAAATGAAACGTTTACCTATTGAAAGCTTTTAGGAAAAATTACAGTTTTCGAACTTACTCATATTTTCGATGATTTCGGTAAAGGATTTGAGTTTTTACTGATATACTTAAAAAGCGAAACTATTTTCAGGAATTATGAAAAAGTTGAGCATTTTAAATTCTGAGTTACTTCTTTTATTACTTGTTTTACTTTGTTATGAATTGTTATTGGTTATTGGTGTTAGACCCCGACCTATGTTCCAGCTCGTCACTACTTTCAACCTAAGGTAGGTTTGCTACTTATGGAATACATGGGGTCGGTTGTACTCATACTACACTTCTGCACCTCGTATGCAGATTTTGGTTAATGATGTTGCTGTGATCGACGGGAGCTGGGATTGAAGATGTACTTGCGTTCTCGTTGTAGCTGCCTATTATTCAGGGTAGCCTTTGATTTACAAACCTCTGTTTATGTAATTTTCAAACAGATGATGTATTTACTTTTTTTCAGCTTTGCAAACTCTATTCCTAGAAGCTTATGATTTGTATTACCAGCCCTTGGGAAATGTATGAGATTCAGAAAATTACTTTTGTTTAATTGTCTTATTATTATTATTATTGGAATTGAATAGTTATTAGTTGGCTTACCTAGCGGGTTGGGTTAGGTGTCATCACGGCTAGTGGATTTTGGGTCGTGACAAAATTATATTTAAGTAACAAAAAAACCCGAAAAATCCGACAAAACCAAACCAATACAAATCGATATATTTGGTTTAGTTTGGTTTTGATAAAAATCGAACCAACCCGATTCATGTACACCCCTGGATATAGTTATTTCTCACAAGCTGGCCGAAGTATTACCGCTATTAAGGAAAAAGGAATAAGCAAGGGAGGAGTGCAAGACAATTGTTCAGAATTCACATGCCCACAGGCCAAAGGTCCCCTTCTTCTCCCTTTCTCATATTCGTCGTTTTTGTTTTCTTTTTCACTTTCTGCGCGTGCAAATGGTTTGTACCATTACTTTCCACCCCCCACCAATTTTGTTCATTTGCTATTGGAATCTACAAATGATATGACTTGATATAATTCTACACAGTTAGCTACATACTTCCTATAACTAGTTTATGTGCGTGTTAGCTAAGGTGTTATTATTGATGGTTCTTTGCTATATGGTAGAATGAATATTATTTGACGTTTTCAATTCTTCCTTCCATAAATAAAAATTTCTTAGGCGCGGATCTAATGTTGTACTAGAAACTCGAAAGTTTAAGTGCGAGTATGCGACCTCACTGCTTGTCCCCTTATAATTCTTTGAGCAAAAGTTATGTGTCCTTTAATTTATATAAGAAGGCGAAATATCGTTCGCCTTTTTTTATTTTTTTAAAATAGAGTGCACACTTGACAGAATAGTCATTTACTATTTTCTTAATATTTAAGAATACTCGTTTAAATAACTTATTACTATTTAGGAATAGTCATTTAATTAATTCCCTACTATATAGGAATTATCATTTAATTACTCCTTTAATATTTATAATATTGATCTTCAATTCTTTTTTGTTCTGGAACTTCAAGCACACATAGTAAGAAAGATTATCGTTCACTACATAATAGGAAAGTTTCCGTCCAACTCCATTAATATTTAGGAGTATTATTAAATTTTTCCTTTTAAATTTAGGAGGATCTTTTTTTAGTTAATAAAATTTTATCTAATTCGCACAAAATATGAAGGTTTCTGTTTTTTTTAGTTAATAAATTTTTCACTTATTCATATACACTATGAAATTTTCGATACTTTCAACTATATTCAAATTTAGAAGTATTAAAATTTTCACACTTGGTAAGTTTTTTTAACAACAACAACAACAATAGCAATAACAAACCCAGTTTGATCCCAATATATGGGGTTGGAAAGTTTTTTTAGTAAACAAAATGTTAACTAGTTCACATACACATACTAGGAAAGTTTTGGTATAAATGTTTGACACTATTTTTTTAAAATATATTAGGTGAAAACGAGCTGTTTGTGAACTTCTTTTTTATTAGAGTTTTTTGAATAAATTTTTAAACAATTATATGCACAGGTACTTCTAAAAAAAATTATAATTATACCTTTTCATCATTATAAAACTTTGCCTCGTTGAACCAACAACTACAAAATTAAGGATTTCAAGTTCTCTTTCTTTGAGTATATTTTTTTATATTAGTAGTTGAATTTTGTATTCATGTATTTGTAGTTTTGTACTAGTAGTAAAATTTTGCTTTCACATATTAGTGGTTGAATTTTGCATACACATATTCAACCAATGCATCTTTATTTTGATGTTCTTGATTGTGAATTTTGATTGCATAATCGCCTTTTTGCATTAGAGTGTATGCTTTAATATTTTGTCAAGTTATTTCTTCTACAATTTTTTTGTGCTCTCATTAGATCTTTTTCTTCGTTTTTAACAACTTTTAATAAATCTTATATTGGACAAAACTGTATTAAATTATTTTTCTTAAAATTATAAGATTTTGTAATTAACTAAAATTTTAGTTATAACTTTTTTATTATTTGAACTAAGTAAGAAGTAATAATATTTAATACTCTAAAATCAATTAAGACTTTACTTTATATAAATTCTTTCTTTGTTTGAACTATATAAAATACCTATAATTTATTTTCAAAATTTTCATCATTCAAATTTAATAAGATAATGGAATATGAATTCTCCATGTACTCTGATTTTGTACAGAATGTGAATAAAATCCTTCGGTTATTTCGGATAGCTATGTGACCAATGATTTTGCTACTTCGAGTTCATGCATGATTCAAGACTATTACCGAAGAAATATCAAAAAGAGAGGATAAAGCGTAGTTTTTTGTTGGGATATTAAATCTTTTACGGAATCAAAGTTCTTTAAAAAGAGATTTACTTTGAAAACGTTAAATCTTCAAACGTTATATGTTCTTGCCGGAACTTAAAAGAAATATGACAACTTGTGAAACTTAAGAAATTAAAGTATAAGATTGGAATCAATTTTAAGTTACATATTGATTGAGATGATTTAGTACTTTTATGGGATAAAGTTTCTTTCTTTATTGAATAACTAAACAAGACTAGTAATTAATCATTTAGAACATAATTTTCTTTTCTTTTAAATTTTATTTTATAACTTAAACACATGTTTTAATATCGAGACGAGGCGCACGTGCAACGCGCGTATCCTAAGGCTAGTTAAAATAGAGTGAAGAAGTTATCTTTTTCTTTTATTCATGGCTTTAGGCACGAATTATACGTGCATGAAAAAAATTGAAAAAAATATATTAATAGAATAAAGTGTATTCACTTTGAATATGGTGACTCTGCTACGAACCTTTTCACTTGCCATTTCCCAATTGATAGTATCGATGAATTAGCGTTATATACCAATAATAGTGGAAAACTAATTTTAGCTGATCATTATTGTGAAGCATGCCTTTATCTGCTCGAGCAAAAAGAGTTTCCACAAAGGCTGAAGCACTACAAGTTGCCAATAACTCGAAATGGGTATGGTTTGTTAGGTTCAGAATTCTAAAAATAGGAAATAACAAAAACCAAGCTTATCTCACGCTACCCTTATCACTTGTCACCCAATCACGACTTACGCAAGCACTAGTCAAAATATTTTTACTCTTTTATCTGGGAATATATATATATATANNNAGAGAAATATATATATATATATATATATATATATATATATATATATATATTAAACGTGACTTCCTGTATTCCTAGACTTCCCTTCCATAATAATCTTGTCATATCCATTTATCCTACTCTTCCCCGACTTCTTCTTCTTCTTCATCATCTTTGCTTTGTAGTAGAATATAAAATCCTAGTATGGAGGTTAGTGTCTCAAAACTAGTTAATTTTCCTCTAGTATTAGTGTTACTAGTAATTGTATATCCAATTTCAAGTGGTGCTAAGAGCAAGTGTGATTTTCCGGCGATATTCAACTTTGGTGACTCAAATTCCGACACGGGTGGATTATCGGCGGCATTTGGTCAGGCTGGTCCGCCCGCCGGAGAGACATATTTTGGTGCCCCTGCCGGACGCTACTCTGATGGTCGTCTTGTTATTGATTTTATTGGTAATAATATATATATTATTTGTCACTTAATTTCTCATTATTTTTGCCTTACAAAAAAGTCCATCTTATTACTATTTTACTACGAAGTTCATCTCAATATTTTTGCAATATTGCGATCGATCATTTATACAAATAGTTTGTCCTTATTGTATTCTGAATAACCTTATCAGTTAAGGACTGGTGGGATATATGGGGACTGTGACTATTTTGGTTCTATTAGCAAGGCGCGTTTATTTTTGAAAAAGGAATCCACCGACGCTAATTTGCTTCTTATGTCTTTTTCTGCAATTGAGTGAGTCTTAACTGTTATCTGAGTTATTCTTTTTCTTGAAAATAACTAATTAAGCTGTTCTTCAAAACAATAATTTTTCACTTTTATTTTTTTGTTTTTGAAAACAAATCTGTTTCTTTTTTAACAACAAAACACGTTTCTTCTGAAGGATAACAGTTGTTTTGGTTTTTCTATTTTATCAGATGTTTATATGTAAAGCCACATCGATACTTTCGTTACACTATTTTAATCGGTATAGATGATGTTTGAACGGTAAATAAAATTTATCCCCATATGATGTTTATACTAGTTTACCATGGTTAAGTAATAAAATGAGATAAAAATATTTCTTAATATGTATGTGAAAACATGTATCATGTATAGTATAATCTGATGTGAACAATACGAAGTGCATGTATGTTTTAACCCTGTTTAAAGTAATTTTTATCAGAGAGTTTCATCAGGTTATTATTGAAGAGATTCTTGCCTAAACTGTCTTTTTTCTGTTTTTGGGCTCCCTTCTCATTAACTCAAAGAAAAATGAGTATAAAGTTAACTTATATACATTGATCTGTTCTAGGAAGTTTTTACTCTATTTTTAGGTTACTAATATCACTCATCGTACACGGTTACCTCTAATTAATTTTTCGATGACCTAGTGGTGTAATTTTTTTCCTACTAGTCTATCCGTATATAGAAGTTAAAAACTAATACTACAATAATTTACGTTTGAGGTGGATTTTTTCAGCTGAAAGCTTAGGATTACCACATCTAAGTGCATTCTTAGATGCACTTGGTTCAAACTTCAGTTATGGAGCCAACTTTGCCACAGCTGGTTCTACAATCAGACCCCAAAACACAACTCTACACCAAAGTGGTTTCAGCCCTATTTCATTAAACGTTCAGATTTACGAATTCAACGATTTCCATCGCAGGTCTCAGATTATACGTTGCAAAGGTAATGGCATATGACATTCATACTTCTTTCTTTTGTGGTGTTCCAATATATAATTACCATATAGTTTCTGGCCTAACTTTCTGGAGTTCATCAGCTTCTTATTATTTCTGGAAAAATTTTAATCCACAGGGAATGTCTTTAGTCAGTTGATGCCTAAGGAGAAACATTTTTCCCACGGTTTATACACATTTGACATTGGACAAAATGATTTAACTGCTGGTTACTTCCTTAACATGACCACTGATCAAGTTAGAGCTTATGTGCCTGATTTAATGGATCAATTCAAGACTGTAATGAAGGTATGTCCTTTGTCTGATCTTGATATAGAGCAAGATTTAGCATAGTACCAAGAGAAAGTTTCAATTTCGGTTTATTGCATCAAAGTCGTAAAACAACTTCTTTTTTACGGCAAAACAACTCAACTGGCTTATATAACACATAAAACAGAATTTTAAAAACCGAAAAATTAAATCGGGTCCAACAAACACAAGTAGATTATCACTTCAATAACTCACCATACATAATATTCTTCACGTGACACCACTTTAAAAGGATTAAAACCCCATTTTTCCGCCCACTAAAAATTTTAAAATCCCATGATTTGCAATATGGATGGAAGACATATGGTATTAGATTGCGTCAAAAAATGTGTTTTTTATTTTCTTTTAAGTGGTGCCACGTGTATATTGTGCTAACATGTCTATAGGTACATGCCAAATTTATACATTTGGCAGCCTACTTGGTGTGTTACGAGATCGGATTTAATGATTTTCGGCTTTTTTTGTGTGCTATATAGGCATAATTGAGTTATCTTCATAACAAAACTCGATTTTATTACTTTGTCGCAATAAACTGAAAGATGAATCACTATACATGATCAGAGGTTGCTATTTATGTTGTGGTGAAAATGGCAGGACATATATGATCAAGGTGGTAGATATTTTTGGATTCATAATACTGGGCCTGTTGGTTGTCTACCTTATATCTTGGATCGTCTGCTAATTACGGCAGCACAAGTTGATAAGGCAGGATGTGCCTCTCCCTTCAATAAGGTGGCTCAATATTTCAATGCTAAATTGAAGGAGACTGTGGTCCAGCTCCGAAAGGATCTTCCATTGGCTGCTCTTACCTATGTTGATGTATATTCTGCTAAGTACGAACTCATTAGTCACGCTAACAAGCATGGTACGTAAACAATTCGTCTTTAATTTCTCATTTAATTTGAAACTGGCTACTTGGTACATGTATTATAAGATAGTATAAAACAAAAAGTTAATGTCGTCAACAAATGGACACAAAATAAGACATGAGATGTCACTTCTTTATTTTATCTTACGTCTTAAAGTATTGCTGTTGATGGTTGGTGAAATTTAGGGTTTGAGCATCCACTACGAGCTTGCTGTGGGCATGGAGGAAAGTACAATTATAACATGAAACATGGATGTGGAAGCAAGATCAAGGTTAAAGGCAAAGAAATAATGTTGGGAAAATCATGCAAAGATCCAACAGTAAGAATCAATTGGGATGGTGTACATTACACTGAGGCTGCTAATAGATGGGTGTTTGAAAAAATTGTCAATGGTTCATATTCAGATCCTCCACTTCCACTGAACATGGCATGTCATAAGCAATAAGCTTATTCATCAAAGATAGCAGAAAATTGTCCAAGTACGATATCTATTTCGTTATAGTTCTCAACCTCCACCGCATTAATTTTTATATAGTCATCATAAATTTCACTTTGTTTTTAATTTGATTCCCAAATTTACCAGCAGTCAAAATTCTTTCATTTTTGGGGCACGTCAACTTTGCAATACGGGCATCTTTTCATGACACTAAGGAGGAGCACGTTACGTTATTTTGTTAAATGGATAAAACCAACTTGAGCACTTAAGGAACTAATCATGATTTAAACTAAAAACCCAAAGTTTCTATGTTACTACTATTTATTACTACTATAAGTAGGACGACGAAGTCCTGCTTTAGGGTTATTTTTGGCATTTCAAAATTTTATAATTTGTGTGTTTTAAAGTTGTTCTGGGTGTACTTTGGCTTTGTTGGACACGTGTCAAAACACCGGTCACCCTCTTTAATTTCCTATCTTACCCTATTTTTCTCCCTCTCTCTCCTCTCTGTCTGTCTTTTCTTCCTTTGGCGTTAGGTTTGGAATTAAAGCTGCATTGTTCATTTGTTTGTGTTGTTGATTTTTTGGTTAGTTCATCCTCATAGAATTGAACTATTCTCTTCAAATCTCAGCAGTGGTCACACATGAGTATACTTAGGATTCAATTTGCATGGCTTGAATTTTTTTCCAGTATAACTCTTCAAATCGAAACAAAACTGGAGAAGACGACTATTTAAATTTCTCCGATTAATGTGTCGTGAAACAAAAGAAGAAGAAGAAGAATAAGGATGGATATTCATGTGCGAGCAGTTAAGTTTTTACGTCACTTAGAACTTTAATTTCATAATAGTCTGATTGGCATCGTCTGTATTCCTATTCGTCCGTATTACCTGGTTTTTTCATTTTTGGCAGAGTATTTTCTAACTACTGATTTATTGAAAGACCTAGGGTGTGTTTGGTACAGAGGAAAATATTTTTCGAAAAATATTTTCCAATTTTCCCATGTTTGGTTGGCTTAAATATTTTGAAAAATATTTTCCTTATGAACTCATTTTCCTCCAATAGGAAAAACATTTTCCAAAATTCCTTCTCAACCTTTCCCACCCTCACCAACCCACCCCACCGCAAGAAAAAAATT